TTAAGATCTAAATAATGGATCAATAAAGTAAAAATAATATTAAATTATCTGGCTTTTTAATTAGTGATTGTTCAGTAGAAGAATTTCTCCTTGCTCATTGCCTTTCATCATGGTGACATGATGCCAAGATCTTTCAATGAAACCATTCCTTTAAGCCTACTATTATTAAATAAACTTGATTACCTTAACACAACATTTTATGGTGAGAGATTCTTAAGGGCCAAAACAACTGGCTTACTTTCCCGGGTTCTGTTTCAAATGCTTATGAAAAACAGTCTTTTGAAAAGAGGGACTAATTAAGTCACAGCGTCATCTATGGCATTACCCAAAACTATTATGCAACTCATAAATTTTCTTTCTTCCAAATTACCCCAGTTTTTTGAGAACTTTCAAAGTTTTCTCAATTTTTCATTATAAATACTACATGATATTGAATCCACAGATTGTATCTCTTTACCTGCCCACCTACAAAAATAATCATGTTGAAAGCATTTTTTTCTTTCATATGTGATAGCCACTATATTTCAGTCCAAATCTCTCAAAAGCAAGGAAGTACTACAGAATATCATGCCCTGCTTTTGACATTCTGTAATATGTAAAGAAGAAACAATGGCAGGCTAACAACAAATTTAATCCTTGCAGTCAAGATGAATGAATTAGACTGTAAACTGTTCATGGTCTACACCTCTGGTCTTAATTAGCCACCTCAAAACCCTATGCTGTAGGTCAAATGGGGTCACAAAGAACATAAGTGGCTTACCTCAAACCAACATCACAATTAGAATGTAACTTAAAACATATGCTTTATTAGGACTCTAGATTTAGCATCACCTCTTTAGGAAAAATAACCTGTGGTACCAGGATTATTATTTTTCTTTCAGCAACAGATCAGAATAAAATTCCATATGAATTAAGTAAGGAAAGGAACCAAGCTGGAGTTTCACTAAATTAGAGCCTACAGAATTTGGTTGCTTGTAATCATGGTGGATTTCTCCAAAACTTAGATTAATTAAATATCAAATAAAACTGAGTTGAGGAATCTTTAGAGACTAATACGCTGAACTGCCATACATTACATTTTTCAGAGGACGGGGACATTGTTTATATGTAGCTCTAATAATTAGCTCAGGACCCGACACAAAATGTTTGTTGAGTGACTTAATGCACATTAAATTAATGCCTTAAAAGACAATCTTGAAATTTGATAAATTTAGTAATAATACTAGTAAAAATGCTTATCGTTCAAAGCATTTATCTCACCTTATGAAGAGATGCTTTCAGAGTTATGTTGTTTTTGTCAGATGAAAATAAAAATTATCATTTGAAGAACATCTCTAAAATCACTGCTGAAGACAACGGTTGTTTGTAGGTCATCTTCCATCACATTAGATGCTGCGATACTGCGTTTAGAATATACCATCTGGGAAAGTTTGATTGTCCTGATGAATTTAAGGCTATTAAAATTCTATGGCCTATTGTTCCTTCTTTGTCCTAGCTTTCCAGGAACATGTGGAGCTACATTGAATGCCTAATTGGATTTCCTGTTGAGTGTTTTTGTAGCAGGCATCTCCTTTTTCACTTCCCTTTTCATTTTTGTAGCCTAATCCTTCTCAGAAATAAGTGTGATGTATCCTAGGAATGTCAGCTTTGTGCTCAATCCTTATTTTCAATGGTTCTTTGAGCTTTCAGCATTGGTGACTCCTTTTGAAACTCTCCTTGATATTCTTTCAGTCCATAAATCCTTACTGAGTGCTTCCTAGGCGTCTGGCGCCGTTGGGCTTCTCCTGGCTCTCACTCTCCCGCTGCTGCTCTGTAAGTGTGCAGGTCCCCCAGGTTCCCTCACTGGGCCTGTGGTTCTCACACTCTGTGTGCTGTCCCTTGATTTAGAAACATAGTCCTTTACTTGAAACTCTTGGGGCCAGATGTGCTTCAGAATTCAGAATTTTGGGATTTTAGAAAAGTCATAGGGTCCATCTACCGTGTGTTATGTAATATCCTCCCCAGAGGGAAAATCACCCTGAATCAAACATTCTTTTTACCGTGAAGCATGAGCATTTACGGTAAGTGGTATGAAGACTATAAGTAGTCTCATTACAATTCTTAGTCATGGTTTTGTTGACAAATGAGTTTTGGCCCAAATTTGGGAAAGAGCGTTTTGGTTTCAAACCATTTTATTTTTGAAAGTGTAGAAAAGGAATTGGTAGATCTTAAACTGTGTTTAAAATATTTTAGGCAGGGTCTCTCAAATCTTTATTTGGTCCTCTATTTCCAATACCTTCTGGGAACCTTCACTAAAGGGCCTATTAACTGCTTAAATCTGTATTGAAGCGAATTTATTGTCTCCTCACCGACTGCCCTCATCCTTGGTTCTTGGACTAGGCTCCTACCATCATCAGTGTCCTATGGAACCCAGGAGAATATCCTCTGAACCCCTGGCCTCCTGTCCTAACCCACACCTGTTACGGTTCAGGCCTTCGTCACCTCTCCTCTCTGTGCTTCCTCAGACCAGGCTGGATGGGCTAATTTACTCATCCACAAGCTAGGCACTGGGCAGTACCAATAGATTCTTAACTACAGGGTATCCGTGAGGACCTCTCCTTAGTGGGGAAGACTAATTAGATAACCGATTAGATCAGTTAGGGAACATTTGGCAACCAATAGATATTTTGCAACCATTAAAAAACATGAAAAGGGTAAGAGAGCTCCATGTCAATTGCCAAAACTTATTAAAAGAGAAATGCATGTTGCTGAACCGTACATTGAGGTGCTACGGGCAGTTTATGTAGAGAGAGTTCTGGAAAGCCATCCAGCAATCCATAGCAGTGTCTGGGAAGACACTGGGAACTTCACTTTCTGACTTCTCTAGTGTTTAAACAACCAAAAAAAGTGGTCATGTCAGCAAGTGAAGTGTGATCAGAGGTATAAAGGAACATAACAGAGTAACAGATTCTGCTTGCCTAAGTTAGGGGAAGCCTGGAGAATGTGTTCCTTTGGGCAGAGAAATAGATATTCCAATCAGAGCAGCCAGCCAGTCAACAGCACCCAGATCTGTGCTCTGGGAGTGGCAGCTGGTGCTGGAGGGTCGCTTCAAGGGGGAGTAGAGTTTGGGAATGAGGTGGGCGTGGTCAGACTGCGAAGTGACTCAGCTATTAATTAGAAATAGGGACCCGACCTAGACAGTGGAGCGTCTCCGGCGATAAACTTTATTTTTTAATCCTTACCTGAGGATATTTTTCCATTGCTTTTAGATGGAGTGGAGGGGGGGAGAAAGAAACATTGATGAGACACACTGAATGGTTGCCTCCCACACGTTCCCCAGCCTGCAACTCAGGTACCTGCCCTTTACTGGGAATCAAACCTACTGACACTCTAACCACTGAGCCACACCAGCCAGGGCTTGTTAACATTTTAAAAACACATTTTTAATTTTTTTTTCTTTTTATATCTTTATTGATTTCAGAGAGAGGAAGGGAGAGGGAGAGAGAGAGATAGAAACATCAATGATGAGAGAGTCATTGATCGGCTGCAGCCCGCCACCCTGGCATGTGCCCTGACTGGGAATCAAACCCTGATCGCCTGGATCCTAGGTCAATGCTCAACCGCTGAGCCACGCCTGGCTGGGCACATTTTTCATTTTGGAGTAATTTTAGATTTACAGAGAAATTGCCAAGATAGTACAGAGTTCTTGTATAACTCCTCGCTTTTGTTTCCCTTTGTTATCATACATTATCGTGGTGCATTGGTCAAAACTAACAACACTGGTACATTATCATTAACTAAACTCCAGACTTCATTCAGATTTCCTGTTTTTCGATATGTCCTTTTTCTGTTCCAGGAGCCTATCCATGATCCCACATCACATTTAGTTGTCATGTTTCCTTAGTTGTCTTTGCTATGTGTTTCTTTGTATTTCCATGACCTCAACAGTTTTGGGAGGTAGATCAGTTTGTAGATTATCCTTCAGTTTGGGTTTGTCTTATATAAGTTTTCTCATGATTAGACTGGTGTTGAGGGCTTTTGAAAAAATACCAGAGGTGAAGAGCCTTTCTTATCACATCAGTTAGAGGGCACATGATATTCGCATGTCATCACTGGTGATGCTAACCTTGATCGCTTTGTTAAGGTAGTATTGGCCAGGTTCCATTGTAAGCTTCCCAGGAAGTTTTCCCCTTTCCACACTTGTCTGGTCTTTAACCTTTATAGGATGATTACAACTGATGTTTAATGCAACTCTGTTGAGTGGATGATAGGAACAGGAGGGAAACAGGAGGGCCAGTTATATAATGCGGGGTGTTACAGTAGTTCAAGTGAAAGATGACAAATTGCCTAATCTTACAGTGGCAATGGTAGTGAAAAGGACTGGAGGTATTTGGGTTTTTCTGTGCAATAGGGATGATTTATGGTAGTGGAAAAAGAAACAGGGCAAATCAAATATCCACCAGCTGATGAATGGATTAAAAAATGCAATATAGCCATACAATGGAATATTATTTGGCCATAAAAAGGGATGAAGCCCTGACATATGCTACAACACAGATGAACCTTGAAAATGCTATGCCAAGTGAAAGAAGTCAGTCACAAAAGACCATATGATTCTATTTCTATGAAATGTCCAGAATAGGCAAATCTATAGAGATAGAAAGATTAGTGGTTTCTTAGGGCTGGGGAGTGGGGATGGGAGGGTAGAAAGGAGGGACTGGGCCATGATAGGTAAATGGTATAGGGTTTCTTTTGGGGATGATGAAAATGGTCTAAAATTGACTGTGAGGTTGTACAACTCTGTGAATATACTAAAAGCCACTGAATTGTACACTTGAAATATGTGAATTGTAAGTGAATTATATCTTAATAAAATTCTTATCAGAGAATCAGGGAACACATGGCAGGGAAGCCATACTCATTCAGATTACTCGTTCAAGCTAAAGTGACTGACCTTATAGCTACGAAATTCCAAGTTTGTGCTTGAATACCTGACTAAAAAATAATAACATGACGAATAGTATGTATCACTTAAACTTTTATTAATAAAACAGAAAACAAACTCAGACAACTGCTTTGTTTTGCATCTGATCTGACTACATGCAGAGAAGTGATTCTTTATGAGGACATAGGAGAAAACTGTCAATATACCAGTTCCATTAAAAATGGCATACTGGAATATCTAATAAAGTTAGGTAAATGAAATAAAAATGAGAATGAATTAAATATTAAAAATAACAGGAATCTCTCCCTCAAATACCAGGGCCTTCTCTAATAGTCTTCAATGTAGCTCATTTACAATCAAGATCAATCATATTGCATAACCCCCAAAGGAAAAAACTGCGGGAACTCATGGATAATTTTCACAGCTTCATTGTAAAGTCCAAGATCTGAAAGAAACATTTTAGCAAACATTTAATCTACAGTGGAAAGTTGTAACATCAATTATTACCTAAAAGATTCCTACCTCCTTCTCTTTTACCTCCCTTTTAGAGGTCAACTTATTTTCATAATCCATCTTCTAAAACTGAGATATGGATCATTATGTTTATTTAACTAACTGTGGCTCCAAAAAATTAAAGATATGGGGTATAGGAGATCATCCATTGTACAGGCATAGTTTTTGCCTTGTTGTGTTTTAGGTGCTATACATTATTTGATGCTTTTAACCATATATTAAAACAAAACAAAACGAAAAGATTAACAGTCTTTGTTTGACTCCTAAAAAAAAATTCTCTTTCCACAAATATTAATCTTTACTGAGTTTCCTACAAATACACACACTACTTAGAAGCAGGGCAAAACATCTTCCCATTTTCCTTTGAGATCAGAAAATTCTATAGAAACTGAAAATGCAGCAGGACTGAGACTCATGGCCAAGACATGTCAAATTAAGAATAAAATTGTTTTTCTCTTAAATACATGAAACTAGAATACTTTATTTACCAAAAGGATGGCTGTCTTCTTTAAACTGGACATAAGATGAACACATAATGGTCGCTTTGGCTGTTACTCTTCCAACAACTTCTATGATTCCAGAGATTTCTTCATCAAGCTAACACAAAGAACAAAATGTCAACTTCGTATTATCACACTTTCAGTTGATAATTAACTTTGACAATTGTTGTCTAGTCTACTAATCGTTCATTTCATGTAACAAAATAGTTTAAAAATTTACCAATGCAAAAACTGAAGTGTAACCTGTTAAAAATGTTTGAGTGCTTACTGTCACCATGTCACAAATCCTGTTGACTTTTAGTAATAGCTCCAGGTATAAAGATACAGTTAAATGTTTAAGTTGAAGACAAAATCACTTAAAGATAATGAGAATGTCCAGCATTTCTACATGGAGTAATTTGTTCAAAAGGACCCAATGAAAGGAATCTATTAACTATATCTTGCACAGTGTGTTCTGTATACATTAATCAAACAGCACATGCATTTGTCTTATAAAAGGCCAAGAAAATGTAAATATAAAATGTAAAAACAAATTAAGTGACAATTGAAAATATATGTAAACAAAAACAGAAAGTAGAATTTTAAAAATATAATCTTCATGTTTTCTTGAGGAAGAAAAGTGATTTGAATGAAGGATTTACCTTATATGATTTTATGGTCTTTCATAAGACATGAGAATTGTCACCCAGTATTTAAACGATATAATAAAAAAAAAATCATGGAGCCCAAAGAATTGTTGGTTAGACACATAAAGGGAAATATAATGTAATAAGAGGACAAAAATTTAATTTTACAGCCAGGGAAGTTTTATAAGCTGACCCTTTATACATCCACTCCAAGAGTCCAAAATATCAGCAACAAATAAAACAAGATGTAGAATTAATTATAATATGCATAGAATTAATACTTGAACATACAGGCTCCATCAACTCAATGGTTGCACTTTTTCCTTCTCCGTCTGAAAGAATAAACATTTTCCCCGTGGGATGAATCTAAAAAAGAAATAACATGATGAAAAAAATCCCATATAAACAAAACCTTTAAAATCTCATTAAAATTAAAATATTAAATTTGACAAAAGATGGGTAGATTGACCCAAATTTACATAATAGATGCGCACGAAGCAATTGTTTTTGACGTTTATTTGGTTCAAATTATAATCTTGTGCTACCACATCCAGTCAAATGACGCCCAGTTGTATTTCATTTCAGATAAACTTTTTTTAGTACAAATATGCCCTGTATTTTTATTTGCTGTATCACACAACCCTATGCTAAAGGAACCCATACTATCTAAAAGTAAATTCCAGGCCTCAGCAGCTGAGGGTCGGCCTAGGATCCAGGAGATCTCCATTGGATCCTCCTTCAGGCCACATGCCGGGGTTGCTGGCTCCATCCCCAGCTGGGGCGTGCAGGAGGCAGCCGATCAATGACGACTCTCTCATTGATGTTTCCATCTCTCTCTCCCCCCATCCTCTCTCTGAGATCAATAAAGATATATTTAAAAAAAAAAAAAAAGTGAACTCTACTGGCATCCACGATTTAAACAGTACATATTCCACTGAGGGTGTGTTTTAAAATCAGGCATGATGAAGTAAAGAGATAATTCGTTGTCAAAAGACCTGGGTTCTAGTCTTAAGAGACAGCTGCAAAGCGTGCAGGCAGATCTGGTTTGAGCGCCAGCTTTGCTACTTGACGTGGTCCTGAGCATCTTACCCATTCACGACTCCTACCCAACTTTCCCGCCTGCGAAGTCAGAATAACGTCTATTTCAAAAAGGTGGTGTGGCTGAAATGACTAAACCCAGACGTAATACTAGTTTTTTTTCTACCAGCTTTCTGGGCTCACTGATCCTGAGACTTCGGCCTGTTTCTCACCAGGATTAAGGGGCCGCAGGCGGCTATGGGACCTGGAAGGGACCAGCCGGGTCTGTCTCACCGAGAAGTGATTTCAAGGAGAAGGCGGGGTTTGAGAAGAATGGCAGAAGAGAAGAAAACAAGAAAACCAGACTAGCTGTCAAGTCTGGCTAAGCTAAAACATCAAGAAGGTAGACGTGGGAGTCAAGTCCCTAACGTCTTTTATGTAAACACACACAGAACGTGGGTGGGGAGGCGCTAGAACTTAGAGCGCGCTCGTCAACACTGCCATTGCGCGCCGAAAGAGGCGCCCAAGTGGGGCTGCAGCAGCCAAGCCGCGTGCAAAATTAAAGCAGCAGCCAAGCCGCGTGCAAAATTAAAGCAATCGCGAGCGCAGTGAAGCGCTAAGGCTTTCCTTCGGCCCTCCTTCGCCCCCCCACTGCCCACCCCGAGGCCGCCCCCGGGGTCCCTTCCCTTCCCGCCCCCGGGACTCGGGGCCAGGGAGCCGAGGGCCGCGAGCGCGCACACCTTTTCCAGCTTCCCCACGAAGCAGACGGGCCGGTCGATGGACTGAGCGAGCATGCTGGCGTTGATGCGCGACTTGGGCAGCTCCATCACCTCCACCATCGTGGCGGAGCGAGACCCGCGGCCCGCGGGCGAGCGGCGGCGGACGGAAAGAGCGCCTCGCGGGCGCCTATGGGGCAGTTTCCTCCGCACCAATCGGCGGAGACCGGCCCTCGCCCTCCACCAATCAAACGCGCGGAAGTCTCGCTCGGATTCGCGCCGTCCGCCAAAGGGAAAGCGGAAGGAGGGTTGCGTTCGGAAGCGGGGGATCTGCTGCTTAGTGACGCGCGGCGTCCCGGAAGTTGCCCGGTACCTTGGTGGAGGGAGCCGTGGGGGCGGGGCTTGGG